ACATATATACCTACATACATCAGTTTATACATGAATACATACATACATACATACATACATACATACATACATACAAACATACATAGATTTATACAAATATACATACAAACATACATACATACATACAAGCATAGATACATTCATACATACACACATACATACATACATACATACATACATACATACACACATACATACATACATACATACATACATACATACATACATACATACATACATACATACATACATACATACATACATACATACATACATACATACATACATACATACATACATACATACATACATACATACATACATACATACATACATACATAGATACATACATACATACATACATACATAAATACATACATACATACATACATACATACATACATACATACATACATACATACATACATACATACATACATACATACATACATACATACATACATACATACATACATACATACATACATACATACATACATACATACATACATACATAGATACATACATACATACATACATACATACATACATACATACATACATACATACATACATACATACATACATACATACATACATACATACATACATACATACATACATACATACATACACACATACATACATACATACATACATACATACATACATACATACATACATACATACACACATACATACATACATACATACATACATACATACATACATACATACATACATACATACATACATACATACATACATACATACATACATACATACATACATACATACATACATACATACATACATACATACATACATAGATACATACATACATACATACATACATACATACATACATACATACATACATACATACATACATACATACATACATACATACATACATACATACATACATACATACATACATACATACATACATACATACATACATACATACATACATACATACATACATACATACATACATACATACATACATACATACATACATACATACATATAAACATACATACATTGGAAACTGTTATGGCCGATAAAGTGGTTGACTCGCTTTCCTCGCTCCAAATTGGACTAAAACGCAAAAAAAAATTGAACCAGTTTTTCTCAACACTGAGAAAAAATTTGGAGAATTTTATAATGTCGTTCGAATCACGCTTGAAAGGGCTTGAATATGATATATCACTCGACTCATTCCGATAATTATTTGTGTTACCTATTTTTGCGTAAAAACAAAGAAAAAACTATAGCACACCCGAATACAACGATACTACACATTTTTCAAATGGTCGGAACAAAAAGATAAAAGTTTCGACGCTTTGAATCTATGGTCCATCGGATGATTCTGTTTGATTCTGTTGAATGACTTGATTTGATTGAAGGGTTCATTACATTTTGCTACAATAAAATCATCATCAATTGTGCGTTAAAAAGTTTTATGATATCATTCTTAACGCAATCGCTGACTGCCCTGAAGATGCTCTTTCGGTCAAAGACGAAACTTGCAAAGCCGTTTATGTGCAAAAGAGATATCAAAGTTCAGCTCGTAAATTTATTATATCATCAACACCTTTTACAAACTGTTGTAAAACCACTGGTATGATAAAAAGAAGAAAAAGAATATAAGCAAGAGTTCAGTTAGAAATTTAATCAAAGCTGTAACATTATGGACTTTGACTGATATTTGACTGGTAATTTAATGAGCCACCTGAAATATGAAATGATTCACAACAATTATTACATCGTAAGTTTGACAACCAGATGTATTGTAATGGTTATCGAGTTAATACATGACATTTATCAGACAAAAAAAATCTGCGTTGATTTGAGCAAAATTAAATTCTAGTTCTTTCTGAGTAGAATTCCGAATGTCTCTTAAAACATGTGGCTGTTCTGACCACTGAAAATCGGGAAGAGTTTGGTATTCGGATGTGTTTTAGTTTTTTCTTTTTTTTTAACGCAAAATCAGGTACCACAAAAAAATATCGAACTGGATTGAGTGATATATCATAATAAAACCCTTTCAGTGATTATTCAAACGATTATTGGAAAGTTCCAAAAAAAAACATTCTCAGTGTAGAGAAACTGGCTTGAATTTTTTGATTGTTCATTTAGTTCTCGACCAAATAAAGTGCTGATAACTTGTTAAATTGGTCATTTAGGCAACAAAAACGTAACTTTTCCATACGGGATTTAGTTTTGAAAGCTATATTTGGCACTTCCTTGGCAAGAAAGTTTTTTTGAAAAATCTGAAAAATATTCTTAAAAAATAGAAAAACTTCGAAATTTTAGTTTGAAATTTTTTCTCTTTTTTTGTTTTTTATTCTTTTTTGAAGACAACTGCTGTCGATGATGCATAATTTACTAACTTTTTACGCGTGTGTATAGTTTTATCATCACACCACGTACAAAAAACGACACTGTTTTGAAGAACTTAAAATTTCGGAAAACTTTTATTTGTTGTTGTTATGAATATGTTGGGAACATTGTGTTACTTGAACTGCAACCTGCTATCCTTGTTTAATTATAGTTATATTTAGTGTCTAAATAAGACTGACCTCGAAGCTGCCTACACAATTGCCGACACTTCTTCTCTAACAGACGCCGAGCTAGTCGAACTATGTCCCGCCCTCCTCTACCGAGCCCTGGTTGCTGCCGAGTGCGCCCATGATGACCATGACGAGGACCATGATGACCATACGGGAGAAACAACTGGGTATGGCTACAACTATGGAACTCTGGCTGTTTTGGTGATCAGTCTATCTCCCTTCCTGGGCGTTCCGCTGGTTTTCATGAAGCGTAACTCGCTTGTTCTGCAGATGATAATTCAGTTTTTGATTGCTGTCGGCGTTTCGGCACTGGGTTGCGACTCTCTGCTTCACTTATGGCCTGAGGTTGGAAAACTTTCGATAATTAAAAAAAAGGTTTAATTCTCACATTAAACTTTATTTTGTTCTCACTAAGATAGACCGTCGTTGCGCAAGTAGTACAGATTTTTCCGACAACACAAATGTTACTTGGGACGTTCAAATGGCTAAGGAAAGACAAAAAACTGAAATAAAAAAGTTTCAAAAAAGTTATTATTGTTTTCTCGAAGTTTTTTAACGGTCAAATGACAATTTGCCCTATTCCAATTTACCCTTTATCTATTCACCCTGTGTCACTTTAACCTACGTTCCAGTTCAAACTATTTCAGTTTACGCTCGTTCTACTATAATTTTGGAAAATCAGTTGAATTTTTGGAAATTTAACAAAATTTTGCTAAGTTGACATTTAAAAACAACTCAATTGAGCGAAAATTATGAATGTTAAATGATTGAGTCTTTTTTACATCTATTTACAATGTTTGTTACGTAAAATTAAACGTAAAAACGTAATTAAACGTAAAAAATTGAAGAAAAAAAATTCCAAAGTTTGAAACTTTTTCTATGAAAATCATCCCCCCACACGCCATTTTAACTACAAAAGAATAAATTTTGCTCTTTGTAACAAATCAATTATGGCAAATAAGCTTCTTTCAACCAATTTGGAACGATTTTAAGACGGATTAAATCTCCGCTTACGCGTTTAATAGCGCGAAATATATCGCGCGTTAATTGTCCCAAATTAGCCAAAATTGTAATCTTTAAACCCTCATAACTTTACGAAAAATGATCACAGGTGAAATATCTTTTCAAATTTAAGCTCAGGACAACAATGCCTTTTGAATGATCTAAAAAAATTCCGTCAAAAATGGCTAGTTAAAAAGTCGAAATTTGTTTGAAGAAAAAAAAACCCACCCCGAGCACAAATATTCCGTTACTTTCGTATCGAAAGTCGGAACAACAATTTCGAAACTTTCTTTTTGAACTTAAGCAAACTTAATGCACGCCATTTAAACGGCAGAAAGATAATGCAGGATTTCACCTGATACGAGTAGTCGCGTTTATCATTTCAGGCGGTGGGCCTACATGGGCACAGCGAGGGAAGCCATGACGAGCATGCAGGCCATGGGGAGACTGAGACTGAAGGCGGCCATGACAGGACATACTTGTGGAGGACAATGGTCCTTGTAATCACTATTTATGTGTTCTACCTGTTCGAAAATCTCTTCTCGAAGATATTTCATCATAGACACTCACAATCAGTTAGTTCAGTATGCTGCAGCTACATAATAAATAAAGAGTCAACACGTGTCCACCCCCCCCCCACAGATTTCGCCCCTAATAAAAAGCCCGCAATGAATGTGTGACGTTCGAAATGTGTCACTAAAAATAAGAAGAACGAAGTGCATGAGGGGCGTTTTAAAAACATCTCTGTCAAAACCGGATAGTTAAGAGTCCACATAAGTCCGAAAAACACCTAGCAAAAAGTAACTTGTTCGATTAATAAAATAATTTAGCTTCCGATATACCTAAGTACCACGCCCCATGGTTAATAAAATTTTGTCATTTGATTGTTAAGAAAAAACATTTTGAACGTTCAAAACGTCTTAACACAGTGTTGTTTTTACTCACCGGTGAAAACATCCATGTATAGCTCAATCAAGACCAATCATAAGATTCATTAAAACTAAAAGCAAGGGCGGATTTAGGGAGGGGGGAGTCATGGATTTACGCAATTTTTTGGTCAAATTTTTCTAAAAAGTGCCTAAGAACGCCATTTTTGGCCTGTATTTTCAAAATTTTGCTTGCGGCGCAGAAAATTTGGCCCAAATAGTGGTAAAACAGTGCTTTGGGAGAGTTCGAAAAATCAATTTGGTCCACCTAAAAACAAGGTCGACAAAATTTTCGAGAAAATCCTAGATCCGCCCCTGACTGAAACGTACTATATTTCAGGAAGAGGAGACAACAAACTTTCCAGGTATTATTTGTCAAATTCAATTGTCGTTTACAAAATAGAACAGATAAATTGCACTTTTATTGTCTAACATAAAAAAGTAAATAAATAATTAGTTATTTGTAGAGTAACTCATTTAGATACATTGGGTGGAAAGGATGTCGAAAACAAAACTTCTGTTAAAATTTCTGGTCCAATGGAGGTAAGCTACTTTTTCTGCTTGGCGATAATTAACAATGAGTTTTATTTATAACTGAATTCCATTTCCAGTTGACCAAAGAGGGCTCAAAGATTCTCGGAATCCCAAACGGTTTGTAGAAATTTGATTATCTCCATATATGACTCATAATAACACTATTTAGGCAGAAAACTAAAACTAGAAGTTTTGTCAATAATTAGTTGAACCCCACATGCAACACGTCTGCTTTTTAATTTTTGATTTGTGGAATCCTAGTGTTTATCTTGTAAGAAACTTGTATGATAGCGGAATTTTTTGTAGGATGGCCAACCTGCGATCGGATGTTTTTTATTCATCTTGCAGTTTTTGAAGGATTTTTTTAATTTCTTATATCATTCGAAAATTATTGTTGCTGTGAGCTCATGTTTAAAAAGATACTTCATATGTGGTCCTTTTTTGTAAAGTTATTGGGGTTTAAAAATCGCTTATTGGGCCAGTTTAGACAAATATTGCAAGATGCTTTTCGCACTGTAAACGCATATGTGGAGGCTTAATCCGTCGTGGAAGTCGTTCCCAATTGATTAAAGCAGGCTATAAGTTATCATTGCTACGCTACTGGGAGCCAAATCTATCACTTCCTATTTCATATGACGTGTGGGGAGATCATAAAAAGTTCTCAAAACATGAAAAATCATGAAAACCTTATCATTTTTTTCGGCAAAAACTGCTCAATAGGTTTTTTAAAGCTGTCGGAATATTCAAGGCTTCGGTCTGATACAAGCAGTTTTGTTTGTTTTTTAAATCAGTGTAGGTTGAATACAAGACTGCTCATATATTGAGGAAAAACTCTGAAGGTTCCGACTGCCCCTTAATTCACATCGAATAATTTTTAGGAAACTGAAATTTTGAAAAACTATAAATTTGGACAAAATCAAGGATCAAGGATAAAAAAATTTTAAAGTTTGATTTTAGTGAAACGATATCTTCAATGAGGCATAAAATTTTTTTGCTGAAAACTATTATTTTAATCGCCGAAAATTGATTGAATATAAAAACCGCACCAAGCAAAAGTATTCTGTTTGTTTTTTCGAAAGTCGGAACAAAAGTTTTGGTCGACCCTTTAAATCTCTGATCAATGTCTACTCAAGATCTCTTAACGGATGAGATCTCAATAAAAAAAACTGACTGTTTGAAATCATTGTCCGCGAATTTAATTTTTTTTTGTTTTTTTTGTTAACTAATAGAAGGTTGTTGTCTCAGAATTTGCGTTTGGATTTAGAAAATGCTTATGTCAAATTTGATTTTTTTTTGCAGTCTGATTTTCAATTTTTGTAAACTCAATATAAAAATTTTGCTCCCCGAGTTGAGTTTCATACAAAAAATGCTATTCGCACATTTTATTACAATTTTTTTAAATAATTTTATGCGATGTCCCTTTACAAAAATAGCTGGTCATATAATTCGATACTTAAAATCAGTGAAATGAGTGCTTGTCATACAACTCTTTTCTTACAATCAAACAATCCGTTTCTTAAAGAAACACGGGTACCAGTTTTGAAAGAAACCAGAATTAGTCTTTTCGTTTTGCTTCTTGTAGTATACAACAAATCTGACAAAAAACAAGCAATGGTTATCAGCCACAACATTTTCAATGAAAAAGATTTCTTGCAAAAAAATGTTCTTAGTTGTATTTCTGAGTAAAGTATAATCATTTTCGTTATGATTCTGTGTGAAGTTCAATACATCATCATTAGTAATCACAATCAGCAGTTTAATCGGTGGTACTATTACTGAACTTAAAGTACAGGTTTTCTAATTTTCACAGACACAACAAAAGTGCTTTGGCCACAAAATCAAAATAAACTGCTGAACACAAAACACAGCAAAGATATCTGGTTGCAAGTAGCGCAGAATGTTCCTACCACGTTTCCAGAATTTTTTCTTTCTTTTTTTGCTTCAAGTCAGTGTCTTTTTTGTCCGCTGTGCGATGATACAACTATAAGAACGCGTAGAAATGTATTGAGTTAGGCATAAACAAATCCAAAGGTCTTCAAAAAATAAATTTGAAAAAATGAAAAAAAAATTCGAATTTTCTTTAAACACTTTTTTAAACATTTTTTGCACACAAATTAAAAATATTTTGGAAAGATTTTGCCAGAGAAAAGCTAAGTGGAGCTTCCAAAACTAACTTCTCTTTAGTAAAATCAAGTTTTCTTGGCTTAAATTTTTATTTTTCATATATAACAAACGCTACTCGATCGTTTTACTCAACACAAGAGATGTTTTTGGAGTTTTTAACTGTCGGCCAAATCATGATTAGAAGGGCTTTAGTATGATAAATCACTCAACTCTGTTCGATTACTTGCGGTTTTGAGTGGAAAACAAAAAATCTTGAACAAAAGTAACATAAAAAAATCTAAAAAAATCTAAAAATGGTCGGAACAAAATTTTTTTATTCATAGGAAAATACTAACAATGCACGTTTCATTTATGGTAATCTGCGTAAAACGCCTTTCATACAGTTTTCTCTACGAATGGAGTTACATGAAATTGTATGACCAGAAAACTTCCATTCAAGAAAATGGTATGATATGAGTTTGTGTAAACTTATGTAAATGCAAAGCAAACTGCACTGTTCAATTGCGAAAGTTTCGAATAAGGATTGCGAACGACTAGTTTTGAATTAGGATTTTCATTTTCAGATATTCCAGTGGAATAAAAAACTACCTATCAATCTAGTTTCTCAAATGGGATTATTTAATAGAAAAAAAAACATAAAACATTTAATTTATTTTTGAAATTCAAGGAGTTTTAAAGTGATATAATTGTTCTCCGAAAATTGAAAATTGAAAAATAAGCAAAATAATAAAATGATTTTTTTCTGGTTTTTTTTTTGAATTCTCTGACCCTTTTCCAAATGTCTGTTGGCTATGTTTTTGATATAGTTACTAGCATGTTGACTTTAATCTAGTTAATTTAAGTGTGATGTATGGGCATGTGTTTAACTAATTCCTTGATATTAATAATTTTTCAAAAACTTTTCCTTTTTATACTCAAAGTTTGGTTCAAGTTTGGTTAGCTGCTCTACTTGCTACTTGCACAGCATATGGTCTCTTTTACTTCCTGGCCAAACTTCCTGTCTCGACTTTTGAAACTGACAATTCAATTTAATGTGTCTGGCCACGCGAAAAAAACTTCTCCAAATATCTTTGTTCTGTTTTTGAAATTTCTACAATATGTATTGCAACATTACAGATAAGTTTGTGACCGCCATCACCATCGCGGCCGGAGATCTCCTCTGCAACTTCGTGGATGGAATGGCCATCGGAACAGGGTTCCAGTCATCTGGCTCCTCCGGACTCTCCTCCGCCATTGCCGTGTTCTGTCATGAATTGCCCCAAGAGTTGGCTAGCTTTGCCCTTCTTCTCGACATGAGTGAGTCAAATGAGATTTTGGGGTCTTACTAGATGAATTTTTTTGAAGTTGTTCTTTTCAGTTTTTTAAAGTTGTTTCAGAAGAGTGCGCATAAAAACTGCCAACTGATCCAAAAAAATTGCAATTTCAGAACAGAAACAAACTATAACGTTTATTCTCCGAAAAAACTGCTTTTGACTGAAACTTGAAAAAAAGTTAATCCAGTGTTATCTAGTTTTGATACGATTTATTCTAATATGGCTAACGCGCGCCCACTTTCGAGCGCGGCGGTGAAGTGACTTAATCAAAAGGTAGGTGTTTCCAGGCGCCAACTATGATTTATCTGCGCTCGTTGTTTGCGTGCCAGGCAACATTACCCAGCCCAAACTAAATAACTAAGAAATAACTAAACAACAGTGGCTTTTTAAAAGGAACTGGGTAATGTTGCCTGGTACGCAAATAACGAGCGCAGATGAATCATAGTTGGCGCCTGGAAACACCTACCTTTTGATTAAGTCACTTCACCGCCGCGCTTTTAACTCATAGAGGAACAGACGTGACTTATCTTAACTCATCCCGCATCGGAGTTCCATTAATAAAAATCGATTATAATTGAGTTTGCTTGTCAGTGTCCACATATGTGAAAACAAATCGATTATAATCAATTCGAAATGGATTATAATATTACTATTTTTCGAGGCAACAAAATCCTTTTTTCATCCATTATAATTGATTTTTGTTTCACTTTTATGGACACTGATAATGAAACTAAATTATAATCGATTTTTTTTCCACTTTTCTGAGATACGAATTTCAACACACATAAAGTCTTTTCTACGTTTTAAACTAAAGTTGATTAAGTTAGTTACTTGTTGTTCAATGTAATTTTTTTCTGCCTAACTTTGATATTTTTGTTGCTTTTTTATGTTACTCAAAAACTGAATTTTGATCCGTTCAACAGTTTTGTAAAACTATTAGAAATATTGGGAGGGGGTGGGGTAAACTTGGAAGTGGAATAATCCGCCTTCCATTAAACCCCCCCCCCCTCCTAGCGTTTGCACATTTACAACAACCCCTCCCCCGGGTGGAGGAGGGGATGGGTTCAGGTGGGGGGTTGTTCAGGCTGGTAGGGGACGTGATCAGGTGGGGGGTGTTTTTAGGTGGGGGAGGGGTTCAGTGGGGGGAGGGGAGCAAAGGGGCAAACGTTAGGGGGATTGAAGCATAGCAAAGGGGCAAACGTTAGGGGGGGGAGAGCTTAACGGAATCTTTTTGCAATTTGAGTTTAGGTTTAGAAATGGGCTAGGCCATACAATCGCTTTGCAAAGTTTCCGCATAACCCACTTGATAAATGCAAAAATTCTTGCAAAGTTTTGCACGACGCGCAAAAGAAAAATAAAGTGGAAAAAATCCATTTCTATCTGATTTCCTACTTATTCTTAAATCCATTATAGTGGATTCCAAATGAATTATAATTTTGTTTTGGCGAGAAAAAATGGATAACATTTACAACTTTTTAGACCACGAAAACCCATTATAATCGATTTGTTATCACTTTTCTTAAATGCGAGATAGTTAGACCAGCGAACAAAACTTCGAATAAATCAGGAGCGGGAGGTCAACAGGTTTTCATTGTTTTGAAGTTGAATAAATGCGTTGAATTTTCACAGAAGTGCACTTGTTGGCCATCCTTGGGCTCAATCTGTTCTCTGCGCTGGGTGCGTTTGCGGGTCTCTACATCGCATCTGCCCTGTCAGAGCATGACCACTTCATCGGCTACATGCAGGCCATAGCCGCAGGCGTTTTTCTCTACATCGCGTTCATGGACATGGTACGTGTTCAAGACCAATCAGTATAGCGGATTTAGGGAGGGGGGATGGGAGGCGACACCCACCCCACCTCCCCTTTCGTACTATTTTAGGATATATTGTACATGGTACGTTTGAACGAAACAGGGTCTTTTTAGTGATTTGGTAGAACTCGGAAAATCAATTTAGTCGAATTAAAAAGAGGTCGACAAAATTATCGAAAAATTTCTGAAAATCTACCCCTCTTCTCCATTTCGAGAAAATCCTTGACCCGCTACTGAGACCAATGCAATCGAACTTACGTCAAAGAATGAAAGAAGGAAAGAACGAACGAAAAAAATTAAAGAAAAGAAATAAATAAATATATTATCAAGTTATCAAATCAGCGTCATTTCAAGCTGTTCTCAAAATTAGTTTAAAATTGGAGAGGATAAAAAAGGGCAACAGCAATGTCCACTAGACAAACGAGTAAAATTGCAATGAAAAAAAATTTAATTGCTAAAAAAACTCAAAAAAACTAATTTCATTTGATTGAAACTACGTTTTCAAGGCTTAAACTAAGTATAAATAAGCTGTTGTAAGCCTGCTCGCTCGCGCTTCACTCGCTCGAAATTAAAACGAAAATCAAAAAGTTAAAACATTTTTTCTCGATACTGAAAAAAAGTTTTGAAAAAGTTTAATGCCATTCAAATCACAACTGAAAGCGCTTCAATTTGGTAAATCAATCGATCCATTCTGATGACTGTATGTGGTAGCTAATTTTGCGAGAAAAAAACAAATACACACCCGAATACAAAGTTTCTCCACAATTTAAATGTTCGAAACCAAAAGCAAACGAATAAAAAATACTCCAGAAAAACAGATTGCATATTTGATCCCCTTAACTCCGTCATTACAATTAAGACAACTTGAAAACTATTTCAGGTCGTCCAATTTTGTCATTATTGACCTATAACTTATATAAGGATCTTAAACGCCAATCAAAGGTAATTTAGTAAAAGCTCTTGCAGTCTTTTTTGTTTTCACTCAACAAAATCAACGTGGTTGGTCCAATGAAACTCATTCACTCATCTGCTCAAATAAAAAAGGCGAAAAGTAATTTGTGCGTACCCGTCATTTGGAAAAAAAAACAAAAAAAATACACCCAAAAACAAAATTCCTCCAAGTTTCCTCAAATGGTAAGAACAAAGAAAAACTATTTAACTTGGACTAGTATTGAGGTTTTTGCTTAATTTAGTTATATCAAATCCTTAGCAGATATCGATTGCTGCCATTTAGCATACAACCAGTTAAAAAAAATTGAAAAACTGATAGACGAGGATGTCCAATTAAAAATTGATCAATGAAAATTACCAACTTTAAAAGATAATAGGAAAAATTAGCAGAGAAAACTTCTCATAGGGTGATCAAGTTGTAGCATTGCTATACTTATGATTAACAAAAAAGAGTTTTTTTCTCAAACAATTGACTATTTCTATTCACAAACTGTTCACAACTCAACACAAAAGCAAAAGTTCCTTGAATATTGCTTTTGGTTTAAAATTGCTCAAAGTTTGAAAAGGCGGCAGAATGAACACTATTTTTATTTAAGCTTTCACAAAAAGAGACACAATGGCGGACTGATTTTTGCCTAATCAATAAAAAAATATTGACTTCACTTTTAAATCTAAACAAAGCTCAAGCATGTGTCTGATATCCAATGAAAGTAAGGGTTGATGTAGAACAAAGACGTTTGATGATAAGATCAGTTGCACAGGTTTGATTCATTAATCGTACTGGCTAAGGAATTGGGCATTGGCCTGCTTTTTAATCGCCTCTTTTTGTTCCGACTTTCGATACGAAAGTAACGGAATATTTGTGCTCGGGGTGGGTTTTTTTTTTTCTTCAGACAAATTTCGACTTTTTAACTAGCCATTTTTGACAGAATTTTTTATATCATTCGAAAGCTATTGTTGTCCTGAGCTTGAATTTGAAAAGATATTTTACCTGTGATCAGTTTTCATAAAGTTATGGGGGTTTAAAGACTGCCATTTTGGCCAATTTGGGACAATTAACGCGCGATAAATTTCGCGCTATTAACACGTCAGCGAGATTTAATCCGTCTTAGAAATCGTTCCAAATTGGTTCAAGGATGCTTTTATGCCATAATTGATTTGTTAATAGGCGCAAAACCTATCACTTTGTACTTAATATGACATGTGGGGGGATGTTTTTACATAAAATCTCAAATTTTTTCAAATTTTTTTTTATTTTTTCTATTACATTGATATTTTACATGTTATTAATGCTCCATAGACCTTAAAAGGCAGTCGGAACATTCAGGGCTTCGCCCTGATACGAGCAGTCTTGTTGTTCCGACTTTCGATACGAAAGTAACGGAATATTTGTGCTCGGGGTGGGTTTTTTTTTCTTCTGACAAACTTCGACTTTTTAACTAGCCATTTTTGACGGAATTTATTTATATCATTCGAAAGGTATTGTTGTCTTGAGCTCAAATTTGAAAAGATATTTCACCTGTGATCATTTTTTGTAAAGTTACGGGGGTTTAAAGATTGCCATTTTGGCCAATTTGGGACAAATAACGCGCGATATATTTCGCGCTATTAACGTGTAAGCGTAGATTTAATCCGTCTTAGAAATCGTTCCAAATTGGTTGAAAGAAGCTTATTTGCCATAATTGGGTTGTTAGAAGGAGCTAAATCTATTTTTTTGTACTTTATATGGCGTGTGGGGGATGATTTTTATTTAAAAAATTTCAAAATTTAGAATTTTTTTTTCCATTTTGTTTTATTTCATTTAATTTTTTAACGTTATTACTGCTCCATAAACCTTAAAAGGCAGTCGGAACATTCAGGGCTTCGCCCTGATACGAGCAGTCTTGTTACAGTTTATTCACGTTTGGAATGAGGTACTTCTTTTCTCAGTAGTCTTTAGAACTCTTCTGATTTTTTTCTCTTAGACTATTTTTTTTACTATTGAATCCGTTAAAAAAATCGTTGACCCAAAAACTTTCTGTAAAAATAAAATCTGGATTTTAAAATAAACAAGTACTATCTACCACTAAAACAACTACCATCCCAGGGCACAACACGGGACGACCCACCAACAAAAGCGTTGAATCGGAGACGTCTATCGGAACTTGAGACTACGAGTAGTCGACTTCCACTTGAGATTCAACCTAGAGACTAAAACTCAAGATCTCTCTATAACCTAGTAAGATGAAAACATTGAATAGGCCTAAGAACATAATCCAAACCCATTGATATATCTAAAAAAAATTGTACCATAATTTCCACGGTTCCATATATAATGTTATCCGGTATCTATCCTGGTGAATTTAAACTCTTTCCTAGTACTCTTTAACTCTAGTACTACTTTTGTAGTTTCCTTATTTTTAAATCTCTTCAAGAAGTCTGACAACCTCAGGTAAATTTGTATTTAGGCTAGTTTTCCAAGCATTTAACCAGTTTGCTACGCATAGAAGAACTGGTGCCACGAGTGAGGCACAGGAAAAATAAGCAGGATTTAACTAAAAACAAATTCTAGAGTGAACGAACAAAAATCAAAGCACTGTTTTTGTTCAAAAGCAAAATGCCCTGCAATCTAGATCTCTATAATTGACGGTCAGTCGAAATTGTCAATAATTCAGACTTTATGTGTTTCTTTGTGGTAATTTGTGTAGTAATAAAGATGAACCAAAAATTTAATTAGGCTAAAATTTAATAACTGCTAAAGTTTAACAACTTGATAATTTTTTTCTAATCTCAACACTAATTTCTCTTGTCACACTCAATTGTGTTGATAAGGAAGACGTATCTTACTCCCTTAAAATTGCCCAATTTGACTGTTTTTCTATGCTTGAAAACAAAGAATAACAATTAAATCACATGAATCCTTATCAAGTTAATCCATGAAACCTCTATGCAACCGAGAGCATCATTCGTTTTTATCAACGCTCCTATGGAACATATTTTACACACTTATATGCAAAGTTAAAATCTTTGCAAGAATACACAGCCGTGGCAGGCGGTCACATTCCTCGGTAGTCCTTATATAGATTTTTAATAAATATGATGTAATTATACAACCCAAAGATTGCGACAACCAAAAAAATTGTACAATAAAAAATAGCAATATATGAAGAAGGTTATTTTTACGACGAAATGATGAATTTAGATGAAAGCCTTTTACAACACAGGAACACAGGAAAAATGTGAAAAAACAACAGTGCGACAAAATTTAAAAGCTTTAACTGCTTTTATGAAACCTAAACGCAAAACTTCTGGTCAAATTAGAACGTCAAACAAAAAAAATGCGAATCAGTGCGGTATTTCCCTGCCATGCACTGTTCCCAATGTCGGTTGCAAATAATCAACCGTAGACCCATGTGCTCGTAATGACACATGCATGAAAGTTGTGGGGGCATGAAAATGTTTTCTCAAAATGCAAAAAAGTCATCACGCTAACAAATTCGACCACGTTCTGTATCATATGCTGAGAAAAGAAATAGAACCCCATGGCTTTGACCGAAATATCTATATCAATAACGAGCGACCAAACTTTGCATTTGGCCAGCTCGATATAAAACTAACCTCGTGTGTTTAATCTTTTCGTATTCAAGTTGTCTTCTTGAAAATAGTCAAGCAAGAGTGAAAGTTTTGATGTATCTGCTAGGTAAAAGCAAGTATACTTCCCTCCACCATAAAAATAGTTAAAGTCATTGCAATTTTGTTTGGCGCCTTGAAAAACCAATAAAATTGACTGTGAACTTCATCTAGTCGTGTAGTTTTTTTGAAGCTACATAACACTTTCTGAGATGAAATTATTACAGAACCAATGTACACTAGAGAGAACACAAAATCTTTTAATCATGATGTGAGCTCTACAAAACCACAACAAGATACATGCTATTCGGTAACCAACCTATGTTTTCGGGCACTGACGGATCTGTTGGTTAGCTATACCACTGCCCTCAGAAGAGTTCACCTGACAGAAACCTCGGTAATTGTTTCGAGCAGATACAAAACTTCGTTGAGAGGAAGAAATTGTTTGTTGACGCTAATACCCGTCAATGTTTTCCATAATCCAAACTAAGATGTTTTGCGTTGATGGCTACAAGAGTGCCTTTCAACTTGAGTGAGATGAAATATTATAGTGGCAGCAACTATTGCTTTTAACTAAATTCTCCAATTTTTTCAAGACTATTCGAAATTTAGCTCATTATGATAATGGCAATACACAAAAACTTGCTCATACTATTCACGACGCGCAGGCCTGTATACTGCAAAACGAAACAAAAATTTTGAGAAAATGTAATTCATAATACCGCAACAACATCAAATATTAGAAAGGTTTCAAGAACCTATTTCTAAAATGGAAATATTATTACTCTAAATCAGATGATTCGAACACAGCGGTAGGATTGAACCAAATTGCTATCTTAAATTTTTTGCTTTCGTCAGAAAATTTTTAATTTTTTGTTTGGAACGAATTCAAATTGCTTTTACTTTATAGAGAAACTTGAATTCAATTTGCATGCTATTTGTTCACTGAACTACGCTTAGAGATTTTTTCTTACAGTACTTGGTAACAATCGAAGAAAGCTGGAAAATAAATTGAAATTACCAAACCACACAACAGATTTTTGTAAAGTAAAATAAGGAGCAACTAAATACCTTTTTCATTCTCAAATCTTATTTCAAAGTTTTGAATGGATAGCTTCAACCGAGCATTAACAAAGTTTTCTTCAAAAAACACAAATACGCAAACATTATAAGAATCAAAACATATACCAAGAAAATAGTGCTTCAAGAAGTGGTAGAACAACTTGCGCCACCAGTACCTATTGTGCAACCAGATACGTGGAAAATTATACCCAGATCATATACCCAGGATTATACCCAGACCTAAATAACTAAAAGCTGTGAGAATCACAATATAGAAAACCTCTTAAGCTCTACAATATCAATTTCAACAACAACAACAACAACAACAACAACAACAACAACAACAACAACAACAACAACAACAACAACAACAACAACAACAACAACAACAGCAACATTAGCTTGACATCAATTTAAAACAACATGTTTCTATCTCAAAGAACCATGAGAAAACACTGAACCTCTTTAGTTTAAGGGCTATTTGTTACTTTAGATAGAGTTACCCACAGTTTTAGGTAACTTTTTGCAAAAATACCCGCTGCTGATTTTCTTTAACTAGGAACAAATTGAATACGCATTATAATATTTGCTTGTCCAGTATTCAATTATTTCAAAAAACTGTCGAGAAATCGCCGAATACAAAAATTTTTCAAAATCACTTTCTATATAAAATAACGAATCTGCTTCACAAACAACAGATTCACAAGAAGTCTGTTTTTTAAGTGTATAAAAACCACTTAAGCTGCATCATTTTTTGAAAATGAAAAAATTTAAAAAAGTTAAAGCTTTTTTATGCATTGATTTTATGATAGTGACCTTTTCTGAAAAACAAAATTGGTCAAAAAATTGGAATGGTCAGAAAATTGTTATGTGTCCCAAAACACATAACAATATTTGATGTTAAATTAAAAGAAACCGATCGCTGGTAATAAAAACAGGTTACAAAGGAAATCTTTTCTGGGTAATAGTTCTAACATGTAACATGGAAACGAGCTAAATTCGTGTCATTGTTTTCCGAAAACTATGTTGGAGCAAAGAATGTTCCTTGATGCACTAAAACAGCATTTCCTCCTTATAATCATATTCTCAAAACTTACAAAAGTTGTTAACTGCGCGATTAACCCTTTTGATTGAAAAAAAAAAGTTTTTTTTTCTACAATTAGTTTTAGTTACGGTTGATAATTTTTCTTTCTGGTGTAACAAATAATGCGGTACTTATGAGTTGATACTTATACAATCAGGTCGCAAACTTGTCTATGACTGGTTACACCATAAAGAAAAATTATCAACCATAACTAAAACTAATTGTAGAAAAAACTTTTTTTCAATCAAAAGGATCTCGGAAAAACCATGTTATTCAATTATAACAATCAGCACGTTTTTCGGAGTGAACAATCTGTTGTAGAAAATCGCTTGAGTGAGAAAGCAATCAATTATTGTAAAGTGTGGTTTCCCTAAAACTAGCAGGGTTTCTTCCTTATGGGTTTGCCCACAACGAGGCCTATTTTATTCTATATGAATGTGCCAATTGTACCAGATTGGGATAATAATTGTCTAAGAAGGAAAATTTGTTCAAATTAGAAGTTTCTAACAATTTTTTATCTTGGTGAAAATTTTCAAAAACTTTCACGGTTTTTAGTATACTTCGGAAAACTGTATAACTGCAAAAAGTACTATCAACAAAAACTATGAGCAAACGAACAAAAACTATCAACTATCAACAAAAAATACCAACAAGTTATCAAAAACGACTGGTATTAAAACCTTTGTCTTTCAAATAGTTGAAAAAGCAGCATTCTTTGTGATCTAGATCATACTAAAAAATATTGAGATTGATTTATCTGCTAACAGTTTCACAATCAAATGAAAACGTTGCCGAAAAACTTACGTTCACAACCACCACTTCAAGTTTGGATTAACTCACGTTCACAACCACCACTTCAAGTTTGCATTAACTCGGATACCAAACTAAAACTTAAAACTTATACAACACTTGCAAAATTTACAGGTTTTAGTTGCGGTTTTAAATCGTCAAAAAGTTTTGCAAATTTTTGACGATTTGCAAAATTAACACTTGCAATATTTTACAAAATTTTAAAACCATAAACAGGCCGATTATTCTAGTAATAAACATGACAGGATTTAACCATAAACATCTCATGGTTTTAACCATTAATATAAGTTGATGAACATATGATCACTAAGCACCCTTATATTGCTGCTTGAATTAATGTGGGTACAGAAACTCAAAAAAATCTGCCGTAATTGTTGTTTCGAAATTTGATGAACTTTGGACTTGAAAAACGAAAAGGATAAAGAAGAAAATGTTTTAAAAACCAATGTCGTTATTTGGGATTTGTTCTGTTAAATACAAGAGCAGAAAAATGCTGCTCGGCTCGAATCAAAGGCAACTGATCATCTGAAAAAATTCCTTGGAAGCAAATTTCCAGAACTTTTCGAATTCAAATGTACTGAAAAAATACGCTGCTCATGTCGAGAACAAGAATTAATACAAATTTCTACTTTTTATTGTCCATAGGTTGACAGGATGTATATTTCCTTGACATATGATTAGTGGCAATCAATTGAAATATCGACGTTACTGAAGAAAGAAAATTTTTGAGGCTCAAAATTTTGAGTAAGGAACTCATTTTTTAGTAAACTTTATAGTTTTTCTGATTTTCTTCTCGTAGAGTTTGTTTTCCTGTTAAAGTCCATTAAAAGATTGAGGCAAATACAACCGAAAACTATATATGAAGAGAGGCTTGTTACTGAAGCCGCTTCCAACGAAATATTAGTTATTAGGAACCAGATATCTGTTGAAAACCAGATATAATTTAATTTGATTATAATTAAGCAACTGGTTTTATCAATGTTTGGCCTGATGATTTTTCAGTACCCCGAGATGCTATCGGCTCAAAGTAAACACCCATGGATTATGTTCGTGGTGCAGAACATAGGACTGATGATCGGATTTGCCATTCTGCTTGTCATAGCCCTCTACGAAGAGGACATTTGAAAGCACTCGGCGTCCAATAGGATCTCAAACTGAATTTATCATTAAATGAGGATGATGATAATTGTCGTACAGTAAGGGTATGATCTATATGTAAATAGCGTAACCACTTAGTAATAACCGATTCTGTACGGAAAGTCAAAGCTTGAACACATACATAACATACTCAAATAAGACAAACAGTTTCTTACCGAGAAATATCAACGTCTAAAACATATGTTTCCAACTGCTGCAACTATCACAGGACCAGCACATTGGTAAATGTTGCATCAATATGAAATGTACTTTATAAACAGTAACCTAAAGTTTTAAAGTTCGAGGTTTTGACTATTCGGCCGGACAACAATGATGATGATGATGGTGGTGATGACTAAAAACATTAGTATTACGATTACTGTTGTTCCCATATCTAGCGCCCCTAGGCAATTTGTACCTTACAATTGATTTGAGTACAAAAAAAGTTGTATATTTTTTCATAAGGTCAAAGTTGACAAAGAATTGATTCCGATAATGTCAACACCTGTAATTTCAAATTAACCAAATTCATTTTTTAATAAACCATTTATTACCAGCGTATTAACTATTCCAAAAAAAGTTTTCATGCAAAATTTAATTTTTTGTGTGTGTAGATTCTTTTCCGAGGAGTCGTCTCCTCTAAGCAGGTTTTCACTCTACTCAACTGCCGCAGAGTTTCTCCCCTTTAAACCGTGTAATGGCGGGGGACACTAGGACACGATATGATCCACAATCCCGAAAGGGTTATGTTGGTGGTCAGACTAAATCGGCTGATCAAAGAATTACGCAACTTCCCCCTTAATTTAGGCTCTTTTCGGCTCTCCTCTTGCGCCTCTAGGTAGTTCAGCAAATCGTGGGCACAATGAGTAAATTCTCAATCGCAAAGGAAATAAAACAATTTACAGTGCTCTTAATGAGCTAACTACTATTTGGCAACTTCTATATTGAAGCCCGCGTCCCGTTCCGTTCAATCACTCGTCAGTTTTCGGTTGACTCGATTCAAAACTCGCCTACTCTAGCAGAGCAGCGACACAACTAGTTCAACCCGGTACTAAACTCGGGTTCCAGCGCAACTTGCTCGCACAACTGTCTCAACCCGGTACTAAACTCGGGTTCCAGCGCAACTCGCTCACTAGCAATAATTGTTCTCTTCTCTGATTGAGAACCAACTACCCTTAGTAGTAGCTAACACTGTTCTCTAAGTAACTGAGAACCCACTACTCTCTCTAGTAGTTATCACTGTTCTGCAGTTCGGTGGTTGTACCTTAATCGCGTATCGTTATCTTTATTTACTTTCGGTTCGGTCAGAGGCGTACCGACCCCTATCCCTACCAACATTCACTTAACTAGCTGCTAATCAGGAATTATCAGCTGAATCAACCATTAGGTCAGCTTTAATTATACATCGGGGTGGCACTTAGTTAATCAGGACATACTGAGCAAACATTGGGTTCAACTACAAAATCAGCTCCCAATCGTATTTGACAAATAACACCTTGCATGATTTTATTTTAGTTATTCCTAACTTTTTCCATTTCCTATGAATTGGGTAGTTCTCTCACAACCGGGAATTTAACTTCCGTGATAATTGAAAAGTTTCCATTTTTGGTCATTTTTAAATTTAAGTCCAAGGGCTGGGTATTTCCCTTACCCGTGTCCGTTTTGATCCGAAAAAACACCACAAGAATTTATTTAATAAGCTAGGGCTGTCCATAATATCTTCATACCGAAACTCTCATTTCCCCTCATAGATGTTCCCAATTTTTGTCCGGGGCTATATTTTTACTTGTTTGTCGTTCTAATCGAAAGTCCAAGTGGATCGGGTTAAGCTGACCCCAATGTTTGCTAATTACAGAAAATCACTTTCGCTCGGGTACAAAAATCAAAACAGAAAATTCTCGATTTGAGGGCCTCCCCTTACCTCCCCAGGTAGGTAAATACCCCTTACGGGTCCTTACAATGCTAATTTACCGCTTTTCAGGGGTTCTGGGTGTCCTGGGGTCAAAAATGCCAAATGACCTCTTAGAGGTCGTCCAAGGTCAAATGAGGTCAAACGCGTCCAAACGTCTTATTTTTGATGGTAGATCATTCCCACTAGGTTTCATTGATATCGGAACATCCCTTCTCATATTTTCGAAAATATTGGGTCAATTAACATTTTTCCCTAAAATTGCCATTTTCACCCCATAGGAAGTTCCGGAGAGGATTGGGTCACTAGGGGTCCCCCTACTGGGTTGGCCCCTCCTTCGCATTGGTGCATTAAAATCACAAGTCAATTATCACTATCAGGTGTAAATAGCCTAATTCAATTTTCAAGTGCTAATAGTTTCCGACGTAGCCGCCGGATTGGGTCCAAACATTAATACATTATAGGTCTTCCCCAACCTACCATCCCCCCAAGTTTGAGCCTCCTAGGATTATCAGGGGTTGAGAGATAACGAAAAGTGGGTTTTGTTTACATAGGGCGTAAAACCGGAATTAATAACCGGATGCGTTCAAAATCCCGGTGGTGAACTTCCCTCGCCTAGGGCTACAACATATTCCAATATGAAGTCATTCTGACCATTAGTTACCGGTTTACAAAAAGTGCGTTTTCGGAAATCATTATCACTCCCCCCCCAAGGGTCCCAGGGGTCTGGAAAATAGCATGCCCGGCTAAAATCATCTCTATTAGTCACCCACCAATTTTCATAAGGATCGGACCAGTGGTTCCCCATTCGGGGGGGAGGGTTTCCAGATTTTTTCTGCGCTTTTCCAATTTTTCGACCTAGAGGTCAAATTCAAGGTGCAAAGTCCGATTACGATTGTTTGCTCTCAAACTCAGCTTATCTATCACTGAATTTCATTGCTACAAGTTCATACAGTCGGTTTACGTTAAAATCAAATTTCGCAATTTTCAACCATTTTCATCATGAATTACCAACCCTACGCTCAGGTTTTGTTTTTTTTTCTGCTATACTACACCGCCTTGTACTACTCTCCAGTTTTCGACACAATTTATATGCACCACCGTTTACGTATTGCGACGCAGCGAACCGCTGGCTTCAGTTTCCATAGACTCTTACATAATCAATTTATCTATGTTAGCACCAAGGGTTGCTTCCTTGAGTGAAGCAACTAAGAGTCTAAGAAAGATTTTTAAACGCGTTGTGAAATACCTCCACCCTTCTATCGAAACAATAAATTAAACTACCAAGATTTTAACTGAGTTTCTATCCGTCTTACTGGTGGAGACGTTTCTCAAGCACTTATAAATGTCGCAAATGAGATTAGAATGTGAGAGAGGGAGAAAGAGTTTTCAGTTTTACTCACTGAACTGAACTGAACCCCGTACTAGTTCACCGACCTCTTGTTTCAGGTCTCTTTCATCGCTCCTCCTGTCGTTTCCATCTGTCTACGAGGTGCCGGTAGTCCTGCGGCACAGTCCAGTTATCCGACTCCCCCGTAGCATCTGGAGGACGCCAACACTGCTTCGGGACCTCGCTCTCCGATGCGGCCGAGCTCCGGTCAACTTCATCATCGCCGAACAAAGACAGCTTTTTCCATCAATCGATCAAATTGTGGAAGTAGGCGGACTTTACATCTCTAGGTCCCATTTCCCTTCTACTGCCAAGCCACTCTCGGTCATCGTTTGTTCGGAATCGCTTGGATGATCTGAAGGAACCTTCTGATCTGCTACCCGCAAGCAGATTTTGACATTCGTCCCATACTTTGGTAGACTTTCTGTGTTCGCACGTCGTTTCCGTCATCTCCTGGCACATTTCAGCCCAAGTAATTTTTGTTTCGTCCATGTTATTGTCATCTGGCCTTTGCACGGTTGCAAACATCATCTGTCTTTCGGCAGAGGCATTGTCCCCACTTCTCAGAAAACCATCTGCAGTCTCGTCCTCGTCAAAACTAAACTCATCATCGTCAGTCCCGTCTAAAGAGCCCTTCGTTTTTTCATCGTTTCCGCCCGGAGCAGTCGTTATTTCTCTTCTCCCCCGTCCAACCATCGCGAGTACGCTTCGCTTGCCGTTTGTGTGTGACAGCAAGAATGTAATTGGGCGACTCAAAATTGGAAAGAAACGGAGAAATAATCCAATTCCACGCGTTGACTCCCCCACTTCAATCATTTTGCCACTCGTAACCTCGCCTATTACCACAGCATGCTCTTCACTATGCTCATCGACCAATTTCTCATTTTGTCCCATCTCCGTCGGGCAGACGCGTTCTATTGAGTTGTCGTCGGGTTCGAAATTCCCCCGATCACCTTCCCTTACACTCGTTTTCCTGACCGCTTCTTTCGGAAACTTCGATGTCGACTCGCTCGGTGACGTCGTCAACCATCGCCGATTCGCCAATTCTGATCTCAGTCATTTCTGTGCCAGATCCCGCACCCTCGTGATAAACCAGCACCGTGTCACATGAGTCTGTATTCGCAGCTGCATTGGCACATACTCTGCCTGAATCCGTTCCATGTCGGACCCGAAATCTCGGTCTCCCAGGACATCTGAATCTAACCTGAATTGGACTTTTGTACTTCGTTCAAGTTTTCAGAACTTGGTTCCTCATGTCGAAAACGAAATCTTCGTTCTGTTCATACCAAACGAGTCCAAGTGTTAGATCAACATCCAGTCCAACGACCACCAAGACTTCGGTCCTTCTGTTAAACTGTCCCAGCTGCAGCACAATCGATGCTCTGCCAACTACTTCCAAACTGACTCCTTTTTTTGTCTCGAGAATTTCCTCGGCCTGTCTCAGGGGCATCTCTGATCCAATCGACCGGTAGGTTTTGTAGCTTAACAGGGTCCATTCAGTGTCTGGATCCAGTTCCACTTTAGCAGCCCTGTTGTTGACGTAGCCATTCGTGAATGCTCTGATGGGCATCCAATACCAGTCGTCCGTCTCCACGAGAATTGATTCACTCACTTCTTTCCCCGCATTCTTGGGCGCCACAACTCGTGACTTCTTCACTTGGCGTCCCACCACCGGCTTGTCATCTCCGTCTTTCCAATCTCCTAAATGTGTCTGAGACTCCTCTGCGAGTTCAATTTTCTGTGGCCTTGGGCACGACTCCCATTCGAATGAAACCGCCGAACTTGGTTCGAAACTCGTGAAACTTTCTTTGACTGCTCATCATAGAAACTTCCTAAACATTCATTCATCCATCGTGTACTCGGAACCATGTCCGTGTCCATCTCAGTCTCCCCAACTTGATTTCCACCGAAATTAATCCCAACACTTCGACATCTCGGACATTTCCGTCACATCTCCCAATCAATCTTCCGTTGAACTGCAGTATAGCTGGCCGTGGCTGCAACGTCTGGTAAGCGTCAAGTCGCATCAAATTACCCGCAATCTCGTCGTCAAGTTCGTTATCCATATACACACCATTGGCGAACGCATTCACAAACCTCCTGCGAGTTTCAACGGATCTGGTTCTCCGCCCTGCATTCGATTCGACTTCCGTTGCGACCTTAATTTTACCCTCGCTAGTTACAGAACCGGAACATTGGGTCTCAGCGCGTGCCGTAAGCTCTCCTTCAACGCTAAGTAGTCTTGATGTGATGCCATCTTTGCCAACAGGTTCTGCCAATA